ATTTAGTAAACCTCCTCCATTATGACCACGGACAGGTAAAGTAAATAGCATTGACTATCTTGTTACAATGGCATCTGAAAGTGGGTGAGATATATTAGGCAGCAAGTGAACATGTTGTCCCTGAAGTTGATGTGTTGGAGACACTAACAAATGGGCAAACACAAGAATTTGAGCAGCATTGACAAGCACCAAATAGTAATGGCTAGACAACTGGGTCAGAGCATCTCCAAAATTGCAGCTCTTGTGATATGCTCAGGGCCTGCACTGGTCAGGACCTACCAAAAGTGGTCCAAGGTATGAAAACTAGCAAACCAGTGACATGATCATGGGCAGCCAAAGCTCATTGATGCATGTGCGTAACGAAGGCTGGCCCATGTAGACCTATTCAATAGAAGAGCAACTGTAAGTCTAGCTCAAAAAAGTTAAGTTGAAAAATGTCTGATAGAACAGTGTCGGAACACACAGTGCATCGCAGTTTGTTGCTTTTGCGGCTACAAAGCTGCAGACATCTCAGAATGCCCATGCTGACCCTTGTCCAAAAGCACCTACAATGGGCATGTGAGCATCAGAAATGGACCACAGAGCAAAGAAGGTGGTCTGTCTGATGAATTCAAGAATGGTTTGAGGAACACAACAGCAAGTTCAAGGTGTTGACTTGGCCTCCAAAGCCTCTAGATCTCAATCCAATTGAGAAATTGTGGGACGTGGTGGAAAAACAAGTCCGATCCATGGAAGCCCTGTCTTGCAACTCACAGGAAGGATCTGCTACTAACAGCGTACCTTCAGAGGTCTAGTGGAGTCCGTGCCTCAATGGCTTATGGCGGGTGGTCATAATGTTATGGCTGATCAGTGTATGTATATTACTGTAAAATTAGATCTAAAAAGTGGTATGATAACACAGATTTTTTTCTTGATTCAGTGAAATTACAGATACATTATTAATTCATTAGTAGAAAGATGTTCAGAATTTAAATTTGAGCAGATGTTTTGGGCCTGGATATCGAAGCAATGAACAGCCTGCTGCTAATGACCCCCTGATAGGTCCTGTAGGACTGTGTGCAGATAAAGGTGAACAAGGGGCAGACCTGTCAGCTGCAAAGCCCAGCAGGGAAGAGGTCTGTACAAATGAGATTACAAACTGTCTACAGTCATTTTCCTTAAGATCAGATGGGATATGTTTTTTTCTTTAAAGAAGAACATCCAAGATATTGGTCACAGGGAGATGAAATGTATCCCTTCTGATGGTGCACACAATGGGGTTTCTTTACTAAAGCTGGAGAGTGCAAAATCAGGCTCACTTCTGCAAAGAAACCAATCAGCTTCTAACCTCACCTTTTCCAATAAAACCTGGAAGCTGATAGTTTTCTATGCAGAAGTGAGCTTGATTTTGCACTCTCCAGCTTTAATAAATAAACCCCATTGTGAGCTACAAGATGATGCAAAATTGTATGTCCTGGTTGCAGACAACCACCTAGGGACCAACATAAACGTAGGGCCTGCTCGCGGCAGCCATGCAGTATGTGGACATGATTCTATTAGTTTAATACAATGTTGGAAATCCTAACCCTCAACGCAACCAACAGAACCAACTGGTTTATATAACCTATGGCCACTTCAAGAGGCCAGAAACTCTTCTCCCTGCAGGTGATTGGCTAGAAGTTCATCCCACATTTTTCCTGTAGAATTTGGTAGTCTTAAAAATTAACATTGTATTTGTCTCAGAGAGCATACCCTGATTCAAGGTGTTTAAATCAATAAGATAAAATACTTTCTCCCGCTCTGCATGCCCAAGTAAGGTAGGAAGGGGCAGAGCTGCGGAGGCTGTGTAATGTGAATGAGGGGAGATAGTTGAAAGGGGCTGTGTAATGTAAAGGGGTCTGTGTAATGTAAAGGGAGCCAAAGGTGCAGGGGCTGTGTAATGTGAAGGAGGGGAATAGCTGAAAGGGGCTGTGTAATGTAAAGGGGGCTGTGTAATATGCTGGGGTAGTATAATGTGCAGGGGTTGTGTAATGTAAAGGGGTCCAGAGGTGCAGGGGCTGTGTAATGTAAAGGGAGCCAGAGGTGAAGGGGCTGTGTAATATAAAGGAGGATCAGAGGTGCAGGGGACTGTTTAATGTAAGGGGGGTCAAAGATGCAGGGGCTGTGTAATGTAAAGGGGGCAGAGGTGCAGGGGCTGTGTAATGTAAAGGGGGCCAGAGGTGCAGGGGCTGTGTAATGTAAAGGGAGCCAGAGGTGCAGAGGCTGTGTAATGTAAAGTGGGCCAGAGGTGTGGGGGCTGTGTAATGTAAAGGGGGATCAGAGGTGCAGGGGACTGTTTAATGTAAGGGGGGTCAAAGATGCAGGGGCTGTGTAATGTAAAGGGGGCCAGAGGTGCAAGGGCTGTGTAATGTAAAGGGGGAGTCAAAGGTGCAGGGGCTGTGTAATGTAAAGGGGGCAGAGGTGCAGGGGCTGTGTAATGTAAAGGGGGCCAGAGGTGCAGGGGCTGTGTAATGTAAAGGGAGCCAGAGGTGCAGAGGCTGTGTAATGTAAAGTGGGCCAGAGGTGTGGGGGCTGTGTAATGTAAAGGGGGATCAGAGGTGCATGGGGCTGTGTAATGTAAGGGGGAGTCAAAGGTGCAGGGGCTGTGTAATGTAAAGGGGGCCAAAGGTGCAGGGGGCTGTGTAATGTAAAGAGGGCCAGAGGTGCAGGGGGGTTGTGTAATGTAAGGGGGGGTCAAAGGTGCAAGGGCTGTGTAATGTAAAGAGGGCCAGATGTGCAGTGGGCTGTGTAATGTAAAGGGGGGCTGTGTAATGTAAAGGGGGGTCAAAGGTGCAGGGGCTGTGTAATGTAAAGGGGGGTCAAAGGTGCAGGGGCTGTGTAATGTAAGGGGGGTCAAAGGTGCAGGGGCTGTGTAATGTAAAGGGGGGTCAAAGGTGCAGGGGCTGTGTAATGAGCTGTGGGAGGTTGAAATGTGAAAAGAGGGCAGAGTACACTGCTTTTGGGAGGTGCTGTGGGAACTATTGGCTCCCGCTGCTGTCGATCACAGTCTGTGAGGAGGGTCCCGCTCTGCTGTGTCATATGGATGCAGAGAGCAGGGCTCGGGAGCAAGAGCTTGTACCAGTGCCCCGTGTTCCATGTTGGGAAATTAGACTCCAGTCACAATTGGCATTTCTGTAACATACGAAAAAGCGCACAGAAAATGCACACTGTGCCATTAATACTTAATAGCGCCCCATACAGGAGAGCATCTACCATGTGTCTTGTTGCGCAGCATTAGCACTACACACACGCCGAAATGTGGAGAAAACCGCGCCATGCTCGACTCTAAAAATTATTTTGGGGCTCCTTTGGGGTGTTTTTCATACGTAGGGTAGCCCATTCGAGGTAATCTGCTACCCTATGCACGACAAATGGAAACACTCCAAAACACGCAAAAAAAAAAAACTGTGAGCAGAAATGCAAGTTACCACTATACTCAAGCATGAACCCAGCCTTGAATTGTGCAAGCTGTTTTATGTTTGTTACCTCTGTTTCAAGTGGGAACGACAGTGGATATAAAAAGTCTACACACCCCTGTGAGAATGTCAGGTTTTCGTGATTTAAAAAAATGAGACAAAGATAAATCATTTCAAAACTTTTTCCACCTTTAATGTGACCTAGAAACTGTACAACTCAATTGAAAAACAAACTGAAATCTTTTAGAGGGGGACGTAAACATAAAAAACAAAATAATGTGGTTTCATAAATGTGCACACCCTCTTATAACTGGGGATGTAGCTGTGTTCAGATTTAAGCAATCACATTCAAAATCATGTTAAATAGGAGTCAGTACACACCTGCCATCATTTAAAGTGCCTCTGATTAACCCCACATAAAGTTCAGCTGTTCTAGTAGGTCTTTCCTGACATTTTCTTAGTTTTGCATCCTACAGCAAAAGCCATGGTCCGCAGAGAAATTCCAAAGCATCAGAGGGATCTCATTGTTAAAAGGTATCAGTCAGGAGAAGGGTACAAAAGAATTTCCAAGGCATTAGATATACCATGGAACACAGAGAAGACAGTCACATCAAGTGGAGAAAATATGGCACAACAGTGACATTACCAAGAACTGGACGTCCCTCCAAAATTGATGAAAAGACAAGAAGAAAACTGGTCTGGGAGGCTGCCAAGAGCCCTACAGCAACATTAAAGGAGCTGCAGGAATATCTGGCAAGTACTGGCTGTGTGGTACAAGTGACAATCTCCCGTATTTTTCATATGTCTGGGCTATGGGGTAGAGTGGCAAGATGAAAGCCTTTTTTTATGAAAAACATCTAAGCCTGGCTAAATTTGGCAAAAACTTATCTGAAGTCTCCCAAAAGCATGCGGGAAAATGTGTTATAGACTGATGAAAGCAAGGTTGAACTTTTTTGAACATAATTCCACAAGATATGTTTGGCGCAAAAACAACACTGCACGTCACCAAAAGAACTCCATACCCACAGTGAAGCATGGTGGTGGCAGCATCATGCTTTGGGGCTGTTTTTCTTCAGCTGGAACTGGGGCCTTAGTCAAGGTAGAGGGAATTATGAACAGTTCCAAATACCAGTCAATATTGGCACAAAACCTTCAGGCTTCTGCTAGAAAGCTAAACATGAAGAGGAACTTCATCTTTCAGCATGACCAAAGCATACATCCAAATCAACAAAGGAATGACTTCACCAGAAGAAGATGAAAGTTTTGGAATGGCCCAGCCAGAGCCCAGACCTGAATCCGATGGAAAATCTGTGGGGTGATGTGAAGAGGGCTGTGCACAGGAGATGCCCTCGCAATCTGAAAGATTTGGAGTGTTTTTGCAAGGAAGAGCGGGCAAATATTGCCAAGTCAAGAAGTGCCATGCTGATAGACTCATACCCAAAAAGACTGAGTGCTGGAATCACACATCAAAAGGTGCTTCAACAAAGTATTAGTTTAAGGGTGTGCACACTTATGCAACCATATTATTTTAGTTTTTTATTTTTACTTCCCTCCACCTAAAAGATTTCAGTTTGTTGTTCAACTGAGTTGTACAGTTTATAGATCACATTAAAGGTGGAAAAAGTTCTGAAATTATTTATCTTTGTCTCATTTGTTTACATCACAGAAACCTGTCATTTTAACAGGGGTGTGAACAGGGGCGGACTGACCATTTGGAAACTCGGGCACTGCCCGAGGGCCCGGGGTCAGTAGGGGGCCCCACGAGATGCACCTGGTACCTTTTTCATAGGCTTTTTTGAGTTTGGGCAAGGACACGGGCCCCATGATCCCCTATTGCCAGGGGGCCCCATGAGTTGTCAGTCCACCCCTGGGTGTGAAGACTTTTTATATTCACTCTATTTGATAATCTGCCAGCATGCTGCATGATTTCTGCAAGCACATGTTGGATACCTTAAACATTATCCAGCCTCCCTCATACCTGTACCCTCAATACCCCTGTTCATGACCATTACATTTTGTTTTCAGGGTGTTTGGAATCCATGCTATGAATCTGCAGGACAATTGGCAGACAGCATAGTGTTGAAACAGCTTAGTGATGTACTAGCTAGCATTGGTGCCAATCTGGTTTAAGGTCTTGCATTCAAATACCAGTACATAGCCAAGTGGACTTACACCAGCCCACAAACATCCTCAATACATGCCAGACAGAATTGCCAGATGACCAATTTGGGCCTAGGTGGGCCTTTTCCATGTAGTTCAGAAGCAGCATTGCTGGTTAGTTCTGATTCTCAATGATATATTTGCTTCTTCCAGTTTGCCTACATCAAGCCCCTTGTCCTTTCAAATGAGAAAACTTTCCAATCAGCATTTTAAACTGCACAAAGTAAGTAGACAGAAGTACATAATCTGATCAAATTCTGTCTGGAATTCACCATCCTTTTCCCACCACACTTCAACATGTCAAAACACTAGGACGATTACACTGCACAGGCATGCCATCAGGCAGGGACAAGGAAACACAGCACTATGCTTGGACTTTGTCAAGACATTCTTACTCAGTAAAACAAATTGCATTACAAAATCTCTGCGTATGTTGTGAATGTGCTTATATACAGATACAATGTGAACTTCATGGATTCAAAGGGCAAGGAAGAAGCGCAGCATACACATCACCAATCTGCAAAGAGGACCTGGCAAATGGGTTTCTAGATCACAAACATAGGTTACATATACAGTATTTGCAAATATATTTGGAAGCTGTATTGTGGCTTCAGGGTGCCTGTGTATCATGATGTCAAACATTATATATTATATTATGAGAGCATCAGATCTGGGACATACAGTACACTGCATGTTATAAGTGACAAATAAATTCAGAACAAACTTTCCCAGATGTTATTAATAATCAGCAGGCTATACAAAAAATCCAGACATGGCAAAACAACTGAAGACATTTCCTGGGTGTGATGATATCACATACTGGGGTCACGAAAAGCTGTGTGTGGCAACCATGTTGTTCAGCCCCCAAAAGGTTGGCCATGACATTTTATTTATTTCCTTTTTCTCTTTTGAACAAGACACCTAGTTGCAGTGCCCCCATCCCCCCCTTCTGTTTATACAAGTAACAACTTTTAGCTGTATTCCAAAACCCTTATACTACGAACTTTGGTGAGAGCAGCAGAGGCTGACCCCAACACCCGGTTCAGTCTAGGTGCCCTCGTAAAACCATCAAACCTGCAAGTTTGAGCAACTAGGAAAGCAACCAGATATCCTGCCAGATCACCCCCTCCCCCCACACACAAACACCATCATAAATACCTTAGCTGGAGACATTACCAATATGCATTGCAGTCACTCTTCCTTGGTACAATCATGAACTTCAGTGTATTTCATAACTTCTGAAATAATAATAGTACAGCCAGAAGAAGGGCATATTTACCTCTTTTAGTTAATCAGTAGCATTTTTAGCCCAAACACCGCTTCCCAAGGAAGTACCAGGAGCAGAACCGGCCCAATTCCTCTCTTAGGGGAACTGGACATACAAAATGTATCATATTTATAATCCATTCAAAAGATAATTGAATGCTGGACAATAGAATATGTTAGCAGATTGTAACCTGTAGGTGCAATTGTGTTCAAAAGTGTGCATACCCTTGGAGAATTGGTAATATACAGTTTGTACCATTTCTAAATCAAACATGAGTGAGCAGACAAAACCCATTTTTTTTATTTCTTATGGGATTAATATTCAACTGTAGGCCATAATAGAATGGCACAATTATAAAACAAAACATGGCAAACAAGTAAACAAATTAAATGACCCCTGTTCAAAAGTCTGCATCCCCTTAGTTCTTAATACTGTGTATTGCCCCCTTTAGCATCAATGACAGCGTGCAGCCTTTTGTAACAGTTGTCTATGAGGCCCCAAATTCTTGCAGGTGGTAGAGCTGTCCATTCATCTTGGCAAAATGCCTCCAGGTCATGCAAAGTCTTTGGTTGTCTTACATGAACCACACGTTTGAGATCTTCCTGCAGTGGCTTGATGATATTAACCTCTTCCCTACCGCGCTATAGCCGAAAGACGGCTACAGCGCGGTTGTCTAGTTCTGGGACGATGTCCATGGATGTCATTCCAGAACACACCCCCTGCGCGCCCCCAGCGGCGTGCACCCGGAGCCACGCTGATCGCTATGTCCTACAGACACAGCTGATCACGTGATACTAAATGGCCAATCACAGCGGCCTTTTACCACGGGATCAGCTGTGTCCAATGATACAGAAGATCACTGGGTAATTACAGTTGCCAGGTTTCGGCTGCACGTTCCTCACACTGTCACAGCATGAGTAAAGTGCTGACGATAACCGGCAATTGTCAGAGAAGTGATCGGCACTGATCATCAGGGCACTGATGATCAGTGCCCAGCAGTGCCACCACCTGTGCCATCTACCTGTGCCCATCAGTGCCACCCACCAGTACCCATCAGTGCTGCCCACCTGTACCCATCAGTGCTACCCACCTATGCTCTGCAGTGCCACCCACTTGTGCCCAGCAGTACCACTCACCTGTGCCAATCAGTGCCTAGCAGTGCCACCCACCTGTGCCCAGCAGTGCCACTCACTTGTGCCCAGCAGTGCTACCAATCAGTGCTGCCCATCAGTGCCGCCTATCAGTGCAGCATCTTCAGTGCCAGCTCATCAGTGCAGCCTATCAATGCCGTCTATCAGTGCCTCCAATCAGTGCCCATCACTGCTGCCTATCCGTGCCACCTCATTAGTGCCCATCAGTGCTGCTTATCAGTGCAGCCTCAACAATGCACATCAGTGAAGGAGAAAAATGACCTGTTTGCAAAATTTTATAATAGAAACAGAAAAACTTTTTTTAAAAATTTTTTTGTTTATAATGCAAAAAATAAAACACACCCAGCGGCGATTAAATACCATCAAAAGAAAGCTCTATTTGTGTGAAAAAAAATGATACAAATTTCATATGGGTACAGTGTTGCATGACGATGCAATTGTCATTCAAAGTGTGACAGCGCTGAAACCTAAAAATTGGCCTGGGCAGGAAGGGTGTATAAGTGCCCAGTAGGCAAGTGGTTAAGGTCTGGAGACTGTGATGGCTACTCCAGAATCTTCATCGTTTTCTGCTGTAACCATTGGAGGGTCAACTTGGCCATTTGCTTAGGGCAATGCAGAAGATTGCAAAATGTCTCATAACATGCTGCATTCATCTTGCCATCAATTTTCACAAGATCCCCGTACCTTTAGAACTCACACACCCCCATAACATCAGTGAGCCACCACCATGCTTCACAGTGGGGATGGTATTCTTGTAGCTTTAGGCTTTGTTGACCCCTCTCCAAACACAGCACTTATAGTTATGTCCATAAAGCTCTATTTTGGTTCTGTCACTCCAGATTACAGTGTGCCAGAAGCTGTGAGGTGTTTCAAGGTGTTGCCAGGCATATTGTAACCAAGCTTTTTGTGGCATTCAGTAAACACGTCTTTCTGGTGACTCAACCATGCAGCTCATTTATATCCAAGTATCGATGTATTGTGCTCCTTGAAAAAAAACACACCGTCTTTTTCCAGATCAGCATGTATTTCTTCTCTTGAGGTTACCAGTGGGTTTTTCTTTGTACAAAACAATTATTTTGGCAGTTGTGGCTGCAATCTTTCTTGGTCTACCTGACCTTGGCATGGTATCAAGAGATCCCCAAATCAGTATTGAATGGTATTTTCAAGGCTTTGGATATCTTTTTATATTACTTTCCATCTTTATACTGTTCCATTACGTGGTTACGCAGGTCTTTTGACAGTTCTTTTCTGCTCCCCATGGCTCAGCATCTAGCATGCTCTGTGCTTCCATGTCAGAGCTAACAAACTCATTGACTATTTATACACAGACACTAATTGCAATTTAAAAAGTCACAGATGTGGGAAATGAACCTTTAGCTGCCATTTTAAACCCGTGAGTGTCACCTTGTGTGTCTGTACCAAGGCTAAACATTCCAGGGGATGGAAACATTTGATCCGGGCCATTTGGTCAGTTTCTGTTATTATGATTTAAAAAAAGGATCCAGACAACTATGTGATAATAAATGGCTTCATATGATCATCATCCTTAAATAAAAGACAGTTTTTTGGCACGATCAGTCATATTTTCAATATCAACAGCAAAATGTCACAATTTCTGCCAGGGTATGCAAACTTTTTTAGTACAACTGTATTAAAAGATATTAATACATAAAGAAAACTGGATCTGTGGCATGATCATAAACACAGTGATATCCCCTGGCCACTCCTCAGCCTCTTTCTTGGTCAGTTACGTTCTGGCAACACCTTCCTCATGGACAAGAAAAGAGGGGCTGCACCTGGAGTTGACAGTTTTATCATCAAAAAAGAAGGAACGCTTGTCAGATCTTAAGAGAGCTACTGTACCAGCCACTGTATCTTGTTCATTAATTGTTTTTTGCTAAAACAGAGCTTGATCAGTATTTTCATTTTTCAACCTTTTTATTTTGCTGTTGCATTATTTTTTCTTTATTACCTTTGTAATACTTTTTTTCTGTAAATATTTTATTTGACCCATTCTTTACCTTTTCATTATTATTATTACACAGGAATATATATATATATATATATATATATATATATATACACACAGTGAAGGAAATACGTATTTGAACCCCCGCTGATTTTGAATGTTTGCCCACTCACAAAGAAATGATCAGTCTAAAGATCAAATGGTAGGTGTATTGTAACACAGAGACAGAAT